AGCTACAAATGTATCGCAACGTAATGGAAGAAAAGGATTTCCATTTAATTAGTAATAATAGAGCCATCGTGTTTCACATTTTTAATCCCGCAAGGGATTGCGCTAACAGCTTTTTCACTTGCATGCAATAATACTCAGATATAGACTGCAAAGAAAAATTACCATATAACACTACAGAAACAATAGATTAAACTTACAAAACAAATATGAAACTGCGCAAAATCATTATTACTGCAACGAGACTTGAACTGCTTTAACTTTCTTTTAGCGTCTTTATGCTTTATTCCTAACAACTTTTGACTATATAATGCAAAAGAAATTAGTAGATGGTGTCAAATTGCGATTCTTTTCACCGAAATTGAAACAATGAGACGTGACACTCTGTTAGAGATAGGAATGCATTCGATTTGTCATGGTCACCTTCTCCATTCGAATCTTATTGACATGGGTTTCAAATTGACTTTAACATCTTAAAGGGAACACATTAAATAAATTTTCACCTACATTCAATACTCATTCTAAGGCATTATTGTCTGACCGTTTCGCATTGTTATTTTTAATCTTTTTACTAGTTATTATAGTACCATTTTATCATTTTCACGACTGCTTGGGCTGCTCTTTGCTTCCATCTTTCTCAAGAAGTCTATTTTCGTGTCCTGTATTTCTTAACACATTTCATCAACGGTATTTTGACGTGAAGTCATGCAAAGATATGTGAAAAATATTGTTGCATTTACGAAGATACTTGAAAAAAGGATGTATACGAGCGAACTATTGAAATTCATGAGGGTAATTCAGAAATGACCGACAATCGGATCAAGAGATACTCTTGTTCTTGGAATCGAAACTAATTTCACAAGAATGACATTCTCTACGGCTTTTGGCCTTATCAGATGTATAAAACAATTTCTGGCTATTAGTGCTTTCTAGTTCCAGCATTGAAAAAATTTTTTATCTTCCATTTGAATAAGAGGCTCTCGAAATACGTGAAAATAATAATTCATTACATTAGCTGCCACTATTCAGGTCTAATACCTTCTGTTTCAAAAAAACGTTTTCTCCGAAGAAAAACGAGATGTGGGTCTGAGTGAATGGGGATTGATGTTGGTGTGAATAGTAATGTACAAAGAAAAATGACCCAATTTGAAACTATAAACCCACCAGCACCCCATAACCACACATCCACACCCTACTATTCTTAATAACGATGACTTAGATCATCGAAATTTTAAGTAATAATAGGAAGAGTATATAAACAGCAAATTTCTTTTCCATTTTTTTTAAAACTAATTTTTTTCAATAATAATCAAACTGTGGACAAATTTTTTTCTTAATATTCTTCATTCTAAAGAGCAGTGTTTGTTTTTTATCGATAGTTATACGCATAATCGTTCAAATGAGAGAGTGGAACTTTCTAATTAATCATCAAAATTAGATAAACCCTGAACTTTCTAGACTTTTCAAGTTTCGATGATCCAAACAATGAAATAGAAAAGAAATTTTAAAAAGCCTTTTCTCTCATCCAAAGTGGTAAGGAGCTTTCTTGAGAAATAAGAGCAACACGAGTTTTGTACCTTGACTTCTGAAAATCTACTGAATGGTAAGGTATGGAGCTTTGAAATTTATTTTATTCATGTTGCTTCTGTGAGCCAAATATCTATGCAAAGTTTCATTATTAGCACATGTACCCCTGTCGAAGTTAGACTTTTTAGAGGGTCCTTAAGGGTATTCTCTATCATTTTTGATCATTGATGATGCTCAAAGAGAAAACAATCGAATATTTTGTCATTTTTTTTAGAAAACCTTGGTTTTCCATTGTACTACATTCTGATACATTACAATCCCCGTCAAAATTTATCCGAAATATACTTTTCTTTTTTTTTCAGAGAAGTACGTATAGTTTATGCTCAGCTTGAAATCAAGTTTTTGGTCAGAAAATAAGGAAAGTTCCTCAACGGAAGACAAGCTGTATGTAATCTTCTAGAAAAGTTTCATTAGTTTAACGTTTTAAGTTGAATGATTTCTTGAGTTTATTCATCAATTATATAAGTGTTTTAAAGTGAGATAAAGTTTACATATCATCATCAAGAAAATTTGATTGTACATTAGCAGATTTGGTTTTCTCTTTTGATGAAAGAGAATTTTCTGATGTTTCATCATTAATTGTTGATATAATGCTATCGATATTTGATTTTTTAGGCTCGTTAATTAGATCTTGTTCTTCATCTTGTTTTCTTCGTTTGATAAAATAAAGAATTATTATTGAAAGACCAGATAAAATTAATAGACATATAATAACAGTTATTGTTATTATTGTTTTCAAATTTGTTTGACTATTAGAATTATTTTTTTGTTTCTTTAATTTTTTATTTTTAATTAATTTTTTCGATTTTTTCTTATTCATTATTAGATTTCTATTAGTTGATTGTGATAAGCTAGTTATATCTCTATTTTTGTTTTTATTCGTATATCGATTATATTGTTCATTTAATTCTTCTATACGCATTGGCATGCTTGCATTAACCTTTCAATACATAAAGAAAAAAAAGACGCATATGAACTTTCAAAAAGAAACTAATATCATACATTATAATAACAAAAAGGAATAAATAGGGCATTAGGAAAATCATCTTTATGATGGCATGGATGAGAATCAAAGACTATATCTAATCGACAGATAATCCAATCTCGTTTAATAAACCATATATAGAATGTATAACGGAATTTTCCTTTGTCTAAACTAATTAATTTGATATTATTAGCGATTGTTACTGTATAGTTTTTATTAAAAAACGATTCTTGTTCTAATGTTTTAGTTGATCCTGATTTTTCATTATGAATTGATATAGAAGTTGGTGAAATACTTTCACTTTGATGTGTTAGTGTTAAATGAAGTTTAAATTTTGTATTGAGAGTTTTTTCATTGATACATTTATGAAGTAATGCATTTGTAGTAAATATAATAATTAAATCATCAGATGAAACAAGATATGGATGAGAACAATATGAACGAAGATTATCTATTTTATTTGCTGTATGAAGAAAGCCGACAAACGAAATTTTACCATCAGGACAACGAATAGATATAATTGTCTTTGTTAAAATTAAATCAACTTTATTTAAAATAACTAAATGAACATAGAATAAAAGTAATGATAATAATAGTAATAATAACAGCATATTTCTTCATTAAAACGAAGAATATTAGTTTAAGCGCTGTTTTATTTTTATTTTAGAAGGAAATAAAAAAAATTCATTCATAATTTCAATTTGAAAAAAAAAAAAAGAAGTCTGAATTCATTAAATTCTGTTATATTATAATGAATATTATGCTGATGATTTTTGTTTTGTTTATGATAAACTCGAATCGATTAAAACCCTTATGTGGAACAATCGAAGTATGTTTTTCTTAAATCTCGTCTATGCCTACCCACACACCACCGTACACGTGTAGTTTACTATTTTAACTGCGAGTATGTTCAATGACGATTGTAGATGCCGCCACTAATAGTGTAATTATAGTTACTCTACTATTTAGTATATCAACAATCACTGTCTCGACAACAATAGTAGCTAATAGAACAAACACAATTGTTCATATTGTTTTTCAGTTCTATTTGATTATTATTCCTTCTCTGCTTATTAAATGATTTTTTTAATCGCAGTCGACCATAAGTAATTTGTACGATTAAATTTTGTATATGTCATGAGGTTTCAATTAGATGTACTGGTTTCTTTTTCACTGATTGAGGAAGAAATAAATTTTATTGCATATGATAAAACACTTTTTGTTAATGTACATGGAAACTTCCTACTTGCAGGTTTACATTTTTGTGGGCTCAGATCCAGACTCGAGTTTTTTTTCCATCATTATTATATGGCATCCTCTGTGTACATGAACAAGTGGAGAATCAAGTTTTTGAGTATTTATTAACTACTCTCAGAAAAAAATCAATGTACAGAAATTTCTTGTTCGTCAGTTTCTCATCACTCGATGCTTAATAAATTAAAAGTTTTCGCTTAGTTAATAAGAAAAAAAGGAAGTTGAACAGTTGATTGATAAAAGAATATGTTCTATACAATCAATGTGAAGATCTGCTTATTAATAAAATATTTTCTGATACTAATTCACTATCTAAGCATATTCGCAATCATCAAAATTAAAAAAAAAACACGACAGTTACCAATGCTGAAACAAGTATCAATGAGTTTTATGCTTCTTCAAAACATGAGCCAGCTATTACAGATTGAGTTAAGCAGGAAATAAAAGTTGTTTGTGTTGAATTTGCAGTACCTTACTGTCGACCATTCAAAAAGTGAGAAACATGAAAACATATCAATACGTGCTGATTTACCTCTGGTTAAAACATTTGAATAAATAAATTGTTAGAAGAAAGAAAAAAATTAACTAATGCAGCCGAAACACAGATTGTAACTGAATACTTATTGGTCAAAAGAAAGAAACTGAGAACTTTCCAACAACGAGCACCTCTATACAGTGAGTAATTTTGCGCAATTCATATAGTGTCTACATTACAGATGTTTCACTATAGTTCTTTATTATCAAAAGAAATATTTCTATGCGAAAGATAAAAAAACAAAAATGGTGTTTTTTTTGTTTTTTTTCATTTCGATTGCGAAGCATTGTGATGATGATCTCAGTCCGTAAGTAATCATAAAAATGCTTCTGTTTGCTCAGCAATAGAGAACGGAAGAAACAGAATGAAATAAAAACAAAATAAAAAAAATGCAATGAAGATGATATTTTAAACGTGTGATATTGAAGAAACATGAAATGTGTTTCATGTTCAATTCGCTTGCCATCAAATAATTATGCATTAGTTGAAGGTAACTATTTTTGTTGGACATGTTTCTTTGAACAACATGTTAATCTTTCAACACCACAAGCAATATGTCAGAATTGTGGAGGCATACCTTTATCATCTAGTACAACAACATTGTAAGTCAAGAAAATAACATTATTCTATTATGATTGTTAATGTTTATTTTTATTAGAAATAATAAAAAAGAACAAGATGGTTCGACAACCTCATTGGCTAGTACACAATCAGCCAAAATATCCGGAGCTGGTAAATTCTTTTTTAATGAAATAATCTTTGTAATATATTTTATAGCTAGACATGCTGGTACGGCCATTGCTAAAGCTTTTCGTCGACTTCGATCGCCTTCTCCACAACCAACTGCAGACACTCGTAGTCATCAAAAGTAAGATGAAATAAGCAAGAAAAATCACACTTATATTTAAAATGAATCTATCCATAATTTTTTTTTTTTATATAATCTCGTGATATTGAAGATATTAGTTATTTTTTTGTTGATATATTTTGATAGGGTACAAGTACACTAAAGTAAATATAATAGAGCTTTAGATTGTTAAAGATTTCTTGTTTGATTTTACTTCTAAAAACAATACGTATAGCTTATTTCAGCAGAACTATATAATGTTCTTCACGTAAACTTTGTCATAAGTCAATAAGTATAACTTATTTTTTGGATGGTCGCGTCTTTATTATACTAGCTGTTAATTTAATTATTGAAAGATTCATTATTCATGAACGATCGGTTGTTTTATTATCTCATTTTGATATTTATTTGTTAAAATTAAAAATTATTCTGATTGCAAATTGTCCTTATTCAAAACTTTGTAAATTTTACTGTGACAAGCATTGTATAAAAAATTGTCTTAATCTGAAATTTGTGCAAATTTAATTGCAAAATAGGTTAAGATTGAAACAAAAACTCTATAAGTATAAAGGGTGGCCCAGAAATCCTGACTCGATTTGTGTAATAAATTTTTCTATAGTTAAGCAGATGGTTGTAAATTTGTTTCTATGAAGAAAAGATGCAGCAAAAGACGCTCTACAAAATGACTGTTGAATGATCCCGCTAGCTCATGTAGTAAGAAAGTTATAAGCTTAGAAATGTGCTTCATAAAAAATAAAAATTAACCGCGACTGTGGTTTCGGTATTTTTGCTCTAACTCCTGTTGCTTACGTTTTTTGGAACAAATTCTTTTTTTAATAGAAGCGCTTTGACATTCTCTACAAAATCATACTTAAACTTTAATTCCAGAACTTCAATCAAGAAAACTAAGCAAATGATATATGAAATGAAAAAAAATAAAAACTCTGCAAATTTGGTATTGTGCTTCACTTGAACTTTTTCTTTTCCTATTATTTCCGTAAAACAGCGTAGTAAAAGTGTGAAATCAGTTGAGTTTGGTATTTTCAGATGTACTCTTTCTCATAGTGTTTAAAAAGTTTTTTAGATCAGATAATGTGTTCGAGATGCACGTTTCAAAACCACGTGAAAAATCCGATAACCTCGTTTCCGACAATGTACTCAGCAAGAAACGGAAAACATGATCGAAGCTTTGATGATGCAGCTAGTTAGAGAAGAGTAATCATTTCTGATCAAAACAAAACAAACCTGATCGAAAAACCTTTTGTTCTGATGAAGTTATGGGACTTTTACTGGAAGCGCCATAATATAGACCGGGTTCACGGTTAATTTTTATTTTTTGTGAAGCACATTTCTAGGCTTATAACTTTCTTACTACATGAGCTAGCGGGGTGATTCAACAGTCATTTTGTAGAGCGTCTTTTGCTGCATCTTTTCTTTATAGAAACAAATTTACAACCATCTGCTTCACTATAGAAAAATTTATTTTACAAATCGAGTCAGGACTTCTGGACCACCCTTTATATGTACGTTTGATTATATCTTGCCTAATTAAATATTTACGCAAGTGTTCAAAAATAAAAAGCTATTTTTAAATATTATAACACCATAAATATGAGACAAAAATGTCTCTAGTTACGCTTAGGCATAGGTGTCTGGTGGTGACATGTTCGCTTAGTGTTATAGGCATAGTACAGGTCTCTGATTCTGAGATTCATCAAAAGAAGTTTCTTTTGATTAAAGTCTTGTCAACGCATTCTTCATCTGTAAAGTTAATTCGTTTTCGAATGAATTTTAATTCACTCTAGAATATATTTCTAATGTTTTCACCTCTATTTATCAGTTTGAGATTTTACTCAGACAAAAGTAGAGATGTCAAGATGATAACCTGGACTCATTCGATGTTAACTGAAACAATGAAATGATTCAATTTTAGACCACCACTTCCATCTAAAACGCCTAATTCAACATGTCAAGTATGCTTTGATGAAAAGTCATCTAAATATTTTCGTCCAATATTTAATCATAACTGTCTTCAAGTTCAACGAACTATTTGTGATACATGTATCTATCGTCATATTCAACAAGCTTTTCAAGAAATGTGTACAGATGATGTTCGATGTCCAGAACTTGAATGTAATAGTAAATATGCTTATGATACAATTAAAAATATTCTTATTTCAAATCGAGATAAAAACCTTTTTGAAAGATATGATCGATTTATAAATCTTCATCTATTAGAACAAATGGATGAATTTATTTGGTGTTCAAATTCTAAATGTCAAATGGGACAATTAAACGATGGTGGAGAATTGAATAATATTGTTACTTGTACACATTGTCATAAAAAAACATGTTTTAAACATAAAATAACATGGCATACAGGATTAACATGTGAAGAATATGATTTAAGAATAAATAATGATCTTAGAGCAAGTTTAAGATGGTTAAATCAAAATACAAAAACTTGTCCGAATTGTCCTTTTCAAATTGAAAAAAATGATGGATGTGATCATATGACTTGTATTAAATGTAAATATGAATTTTGTTGGTCTTGTTTAGCTGATTATGATCGAATACGACGAGAAGGAAATCATCGACATCATCCTAATTGTAAACATTATGCAGCTTATAATAAACATTAATATTTTATTTTTCGCTACGTATATTAAGTGAAATAATCATGTGTACATTATTTTCAATAAAATATATTTTGATTCTGAAAATGATCCAAATTTATAAAATATCGTTCGCATGAATAAATATAAATTTAATGATTTGGATTTTATGCTTAAATGGTGTAGACGTAAGGAACCTATTCTCTACCTACATAATTATATTCTTCAGAGACTACAATATTAATTCAAATCGTAGGTCTTTGATTTTTCTGTTCAACACGATGGAGTGTGAGTGTAGAGAAAACCTTCGCCCATCTTTCGCTCATACTCTGACTTCTTTGCTGAATCATTTCTAGACGA